AAGTTGCAAGCACGCTCTCTGTGGCTCTCGTATGTCTATGGACTTTTGCATTGTGGTCAAGGTTGCAAGTCCCCCCCTCCTCTTTTCCAGGCATCAAATTAATTACACCTTGTGAAAGCTAATAAAAGTAGAAAGAAAAGGTTATCTCAGGGTAAGGTATTGTATCATAAGATTACAATGAGATAAAGGTGATAACATACTATAAGATATAGAGGATTGACATTGTTAACATCTGTTATCCTGTCTTAGGCTTATGATCTTTAATTTTTTAAAATAATAATTGTTTTTAAAATAACTTAGCTGTTTTATAGTGTTGTTATACACTTCCCAAAAGGGATGCGGTGGCTCAGTGGCTAAGATGCTGAGCTTGTTGATCAGAAAGGTTGGCAGTTTGGTGGTTTGAATCCCTAGTGTCACATAACAGAGTGAGCTCCTGTTATTGTGCCAGCTTCTGCCAACCTAGCAGTTTGAAAGCATGTAAAAATGCAAATAGAAAAATAGGAACCACTTATGGTGGGAAGGTAACAGAGTTCCGGGCGCCTTTGGCATTTAGTCATGCTGGCCACAGGACCATGGAGACGTCTTCGGACAGTGCTGGCTCTTCGGCTTTGAAACGGAGATGAGCACCGCCCCCTAGAGTAGGGAATGACTAGCACATATGTGTGAGGGGAACCTTTACCTTTACCTTATACACTTCCCAGAGTTGCTTTTTTGTCAGATGGTTGGTTATATAAAATTGATAAATAAATTAAAGTTGCAATACCCATTTTTACAAGTTATGTTTCTTAAGATGTGCATTACAGTATAATACCAGAACCAAGTGAGTTATGCAGATTTTGTACCACTGATGCTTTCTTCTTAAGTCCACTTCTGATTTGCTTAATGCTTGGGCTTGTTGCTTCCAATGAGTCAGAGCAACAAATGTTGATGATTGTGGCGGTAAAAGCATGAAAAGGGTTGATAAGGAGATAGTACAGTCTAGTGGTTAAGGTCTGTTAGCTGAAACACCGGAAACACCTGCTGAACTGTGATCTTTGGAAAAACATCCTATAAAGTTGCTTCGAAAAGGAAGCACCTTTTAAAAGGAGGAAATGTGCAGTAGTTGCCCCTGGGGAATACACTGTGCAAGATCAGATGTGGCTTTCTGATCTTTCTTTCGCAACTCTTGGGCAGTCTTAAGTCACCCAAGCTTTGCCCTACAGACATGTACAGCAGTGATAACTTGCCTGTGAATAGAGATAGATGGTGATGGGGATCATTTTACATTCACCAATAAAAGAACATGTAGGACAAGTGAGATACAAATGGCCAGAAAGGTATTCTGGATGCCTTTGAAGATTAGCTTTATCTACAGAATTTGATTCCTTTTGTAGGACCTCAAGGGAGCTTTTATCATTTGTCCTTCCCTATCAACTGCCAATTCCTCTCTCTTGGTCTGCACCCTTTGTTGTTCCCCAGTTCTCTTTCATTTTCTTTTCAGAGCACTTCCCCTTTTCTTCTTACCCCATTATTCACTCAGAAATGTGTGCATATTTATAAGTTTCTGGGCATGGGAACACTTCTAGTGTGCGTGCAAGGACAGTTAATATATGCAGGCGGGATATTTTGCAATGGGTGATTAATTGAAGTAATATGTATTTACTTTATAACCTGCCCTGGCCTTTGGCGGGGGGGGGGGGG